AACGGAGAGGCAGTGGAGCAGGTGGAGAAGTTCAAGTACCTCGGAACCGTATTTACTAGTGATGGAAAATCGGAGGAAGAAATCGACTGACTAATTGGAGTAGCAAGTGGCGTTCTACCTGAACTAGCCCGATCCGTTGAGACTAAGGCAGAGCAAAATCGGAGCGCTAAACACTCGATAATCAAATCGATCTTCATCTTTATTCTTACCTACAGTCATGAGTCGTTGTGGTTTATGGGTTGTGGCTGACCACCTCCTGCTCTTTTACTCTGAATGAGAATGGATAAAGACACTGTTGTAGATTAGTATTATTTATTGCAGATTGGTCGTTTTGTCGATCTTCGACAGCCGTTGTCGTGCTGCTACACTCCGGTTGCTAGAAGGCCATGATCGCCAACATTTTGGAGCTTGCCTCAGTCCCTCAACAGTCTTCGCGGCCCTTGGTAACCCGGGCGACGACCTAGACGATATAATGTTTGATTATAAGGGGCTGCTGGTCATTCTTCATGGAGATGAGGCCACGTTCTTCAACCCTCCTCTTTTTCTTCAGGGTTTGGACCCGGCAACGGTAAGTTATGCGAGTGAACATGATACCTAAAACTAAAAGCCAGTACTTTCTTGTTTCCTGCTTGCTGCGTTCTGTGGGCAAATGGAGAAGAAGTGGAAGCGATGGGATAGTTCAAGTATCTGGGAGTAGTATTTATTGGTGATGGAGAATGGGACGAAAAGATCCATCTGCGAATTGAAATGTTCAGCGACGTTGCGCTCGTGCTTGTCGGAATGGTTGTGACTGAGGTAGAACTGAGTCTGAAGATTTAGGTTTCTGTTCAAATTGATCTTCATATCGATGGTCACCTATGGTAATGAGTCCAGAAAGTTAAATCCCTAGTAAATACGTTGAAATGCACCTTCTGAATCCAATCGCTCAGCTCACGCATCAGAACATTTTTCGGAGTTTGGATATTCGATAGATCTTTAGAACACACCCGCTGCTTCTGCGCATCGAAAAGCCATGACTGCGCTGATCTTCGC